AATAAGATCATTCTATTTCCTTTTTTAAAAATTTCTAGCGCAGTTTCTGGGCGGCTTCGAACCATCGCTGTTATATACACAGTATCCTTATCCCCTAAGCCACAAGAACTGTTGGTTTCAAGTTTTCCGATTCAAAATAGTTTGTTCTTTTTCTTAACACGTTCGTCATTTGAAGTTGCTTGACTTAAAGTTTTTTGTTTCATTCCCAGAAAATGAATGGAAGTTTCAATACCTTGGAAAATGCTAGATTTTTTCTCCAGGAACAAGATGGATCTTCGTCCCACGAATTCTTAGTCAGCTCAGGTCTTGGGCGGATTTGAACCACCGATCTCCTGTTTAATAGACAGGCGCTTTTACCGCTAAGCCACAAGACATGTTGATTTTGGTTTTTATGATTTAAAAATATGTGTTTTTGTTCCAAATAGGTATGTCATTTGAAGTCGATTGACTTAAAAAATTTTGTTTCTTTCCCAGAAAAGGAATGGAAGTTTCGATACCTTGGAAAAAACTATAGTGTTTTCTTTTTTCTTTCCAAGAATAAGATCATTCTATTTCCTTTTTTAAAAATTTCTAGCGCAGTTTCTGGGCGGCTTCGAACCATCGCTGTTATATACACAGTATCCTTATCCCCTAAGCCACAAGAACTGTTGGTTTCAAGTTTTCCGATTCAAAATAGTTTGTTCTTTTTCTTAACACGTTCGTCATTTGAATTTGCTTGACTTAAAGTTTTTTGTTTCATTCCCAGAAAATGAATGGAAGTTTCAATACCTTGGAAAATGCTAGATTTTTTCTCCAGGAACAAGATGGATCTTCGTCCCACGAATTGTTAGTCAGCTCAGGTCTTGGGCGGATTTGAACCACCGATCTCCTGTTTACTAGACAGGCGCTTCAACCGCTAAGCCACAAGACCTGTTGATTCTGGTTTTTTTATTTAAAATGATGAGTTTTTGTTCCATATAGGTATGTCATTTGAAGTCGATTGACCTAAAATTTTTTTGTTTCTTTCCCAGAAAAGGAATGGAAGTTTCAAAACCTTGGAAAAAGCTATAGTGTTTTCTTTTTTCTTTCCAAGAATAAGATCATTCTATTTCCTTTTTTTAAAATTTCTAGCGCAGTTTCTGGGCGGCTTCGAACCATCGCTGTTATATACACAGTATCATTATCCCCTAAGCCACAAGAACTGTTGGTTTCAAGTTTTCCGATTCAAAATTGTTTGTTCTTTTTCGTAACACGTTTGTCATTTGAAATTGCTTGACTTATAGATTTTTGTTTCATTCCCAGAAAATGAATGGAAGTTTCAATACCTTGGAAAAAACTATAGTGTTTTCTTTTTTCTTTCCAAGAATAAGATCATTCTATTTCTTTTTTTTAAAATTTCTAGCGCAGTTTCTGGGCGGCTTCGAACCATCGCTGTTATATACACAGTATCCTTATCCCCTAAGCCACAAGAACTGTTGGTTTCAAGTTTTCCGATTCAAAATATATTGTTCTTTTTCTTAACACGTTCGTCATTTGAAGTTTCTTGACTTAAAGTTTTTTGTTTCATTCCCAGAAAATGAATGGAAGTTTCAATACCTTGGAAAATGCTAGATTTTTTCTCCAGGAACAAGATGGATCTTCGTCCCACGAATTGTTAGTTAGCTCAGGTCTTGGGCGGATTTGAACCACCGATCTCCTGTTTACTAGACAGGCGCTTCAACCGCTAAGCCACAAGACCTGTTGATTCTGTTTTTTTTTTATTTAAAATGATGAGTTTTTGTTCCATATAGGTATGTCATTTGAAGTCGATTGACCTAAAAAATTTTTGTTTCTTTCCCAGAAAAGGAATGGAAGTTTCAAAACCTTGGAAAAAGCTATAGTGTTTTCTTTTTTCTTTCCAAGAATAAGATCATTCTATTTCCTTTTTTTTAAATATCTAGCGCAGTTTCTGGGCGGCTTCGAACCATCGCTGTTATATACACAGTATCATTATCCGCTAAGCCACAAGAACTGTTGGTTTCAAGTTTTCCGATTCAAAATTGTTTGTTCTTTTTCGTAACACGTTCGTCATTTGAAGTTGCTTGACTTATAGTTTTTTATTTCATTCCCAGAAAATGAATGGAAGTTTCAATACCTTGGAAAAATCTATATTTTTTCTTCAGGAACAAGATGGATCTTCGTCCTAAGAATTGTTAGTTAGCTCAGGTCTTGGGCGGATTTGAACCACCGATGTCCTATTTACTAGACAGGCGCTTTAACCGCTAAGCCACAAGACCTGTTGCTTCTAGTTTTTTTGATTTAGAATCATGTGTTTTTGTTCCATATAGGTATGTCATTTGAAGTCGATTGACCTAAAAAAATTTTGTTTCTTTCCCAGAAAAGGAATGGAAGTTTCGATACCTTGGAAAAAACTATAGTGTTTTCTTTTTTCTTTCCAAGAATAAGATCATTCTATTTCCTTTTTAAAAATTTCTAGCGCAGTTTCTGGGCGGCTTCGAACCATCGCTGTTATATACACAGTATCCTGATCCCCTAAGCCACAAGAACTGTTGGTTTCAAGTTTTCCGATTCAAAATAGTTTGTTCTTTTTCTTAACACGTTCGTCATTTGAAGTTGCTTGACTTAGAGTTTTTTGTTTCATTCCCAGAAAATGAATGGAAGTTTCAATACCTTGGAAAATGCTAGATTTTTTCTCCAGGAACAAGATGGATCTTCGTCCTACGAATTGTTAGTTAGCTCAGGTCTTGGGCGGATTTGAACCACCGATCTCCTGTTTACTAGACAGGCGCTTTAACCGCTAAGCCACAAGACCTGTTGATTCTGGTTTTTTTAATTTAAAATCATGAGTTTTTGTTCCATATAGGTATGTCATTTGAAGTCGATTGACCTAAATTTTTTTTGTTTCTTTCCCAGAAAAGGAATGGAAGTTTCAAAACCTTGGAAAAAGCTATAGTGTTTTCTTTTTTCTTTCCAAGAATAAGATCATTCTATTTCCTTTTTTTTTTAAACTTCTAGCGCAGTTTCTGGGCGGCTTCGAACCATCGCTGTTATATACACAGTATCATTATCTCCTAAGCCACAAGAACTGTTGGTTTCAAGTTTTCCGATTCAAAATTGTTTGTTCTTTTTCGTAACACGTTCGTCATTTGAAGTTGCTTGACTTATAGTTTTTTGTTTCATTCCCAGAAAATGAATGGAAGTTTCAATACCTTGGAAAAACCTATATTTTTTCTTCAGGAACAAGATGGATCTTCGTCCTAAAAATTGTTAGTTAGCTCAGGTCTTGGGCGGATTTGAACCAACGATCTACTGTTTACTAGACAGGCGCTTTAACCACTAAGCCACAAGACCTGTTGATTCCAGTTTTTTTTAATTTAAAATGATGTGTTTTTGTTCCATATAGGTATGTCGTTTGAAGTCGATTGACTTAAAATTTTTTTGTTTCTTTCCCAGAAAAGGGATGGAAGTTTCGATACCTTGAAAAAAGCTATTGTGTTTTCTTTTTTCTTTCCAAGAATAAGATCATTCTATTTTTTTTTAAATTTCTAGCGCAGTTTCTGGGCGGATTCGAACCATCGCTGTTATATACACAGTATCCTTATCCCCTAAGCCACAATAATTGTTGGTTTCAAGTTTTCCGATTCAAAATTGTTTGTTCTTTTTTTTAACACGTTTGTCATTTGAAGTTGCTTGACTTATAGTTTTTTGTTTCATTCCCAGAAAATGAATGGAAGTTATAGTTTTTTGTTTCATTCCCAGAAAATGAATGGAAGTTTCAATACCTTGGAACAAGCTATATTTTTTCTTCCAGGAACAAGAAGCATCTTCATCCTACGAATTGTTAGTTAGCTCAGGTCTTGGGCGGATTTAAACCACCGATCTCCTGTTTACTAGACAGGCGCTTTAACCGCTAAGCCAACTTCAAATGAAGTTGGCTAAGCCAACTTCAGGCGCTTTTAGTTTTTTTGATTTAAAATCATGTCTTTTGTTCCATATAGGTATGTCATTTGAAGTCGATTGACTTCAAATTTTTTGTTTCTTTCTCAGAAAAGGAATGGAAGTTTCGATACCTTGGAGAAAGCTACATTGTTTTCTTTTTCTTTCCAAGAATAAGATGATTCTATTTCCTTTTCTTTATTTCTAGCGAAGTTTGTGGGCGGATTAGAACCATCGACCTCCTGTTATATTCACTGGATCCTTATCCCCTAGGCCACTAGAACTATTTTCTTCACGTTTTGCGATTCAAAATTAATTGTTCTTTTTCTTAACACGTTTGTCATTTGAAGTTGCTTGACTTATAGTTTTTTGTTTAATTCCCAGAAAATGAACGGAAGCTACAATGCCTTGGAACAAGCTCTATTTTTTTCTTTCAGGAACAAGATGGATCTTCATCCCACCAAATGTTAGTTAGCTCAGGTCTTGGGCGGATTTGAACCACCGATCTCCTGTTTACTAGACAGGCGCTTTAACCGCTAAGCCACAAGACCTGTTGCTTCTAGTTTTTTTTATTTAAAATCTCCTGTTTACTAGACAGGCGCTTTAACCGCTAAGCCACAAGACCTGTTGGCTTTCGTTTTTTTATTTAAAATCATGTGTTTTTGTTCCATATAGGTATGTCGTTTGAAGTCGATTGACATAAAAAATTTTTGTTTCTTTCCCAGAAAAGGAATGGAAGTTTCGATACCTTGGAAAAAGCTATTGTGTTTTCTTTTTTCTTTCCAAGAATAAGATCATTCTATTTTTTTTAAAATTTCTAGCGCAGTTTCTGGGCGGATTTGAACCATCGCTGTTATATACACAGTATCCTTATCCCCTAAGCCACAATAATTGTTGGTTTCAAGTTTTCCGATTCAAAATAGTTTGTTCTTTTTCTTAACACGTTTGTCATTTGAAGTTGCTTGACTTATAGTTTTTTGTTTCATTCCCAGAAAATGAATGGAAGTTTCAATATCTTGGAACAAGCTATATTTTTTCTTCCAGGAACAAGAAGGATCTTCATCCCACCAAATGTTAGTTAGCTCAGGTCTTCGGCGGATTTGAACCAACGATCTACTGCTTACTAGACAGTCGCTTTAACCACTAAGCCACAAGACCTGTTGCTTCTAGTTTTTTTATTTGAAATCATGTGTTTTTGTTCCATATAGGTATGTCGTTTGAAGTCGATTGACTTCAAATTTTTTTGTTTCTTTCCCAGAAAAGGAATGGAAGTTTCGATACCTTGGAAAAAGCTATTGTGTTTTCTTTTTTCTTTCCAAGAATAAGATCATTCTATTTTTTTTAAAATTTCTAGCGCAGTTTCTGGGCGGATTCGAACCATCGCTGTTATATACACAGTATCCTTATCCCCTAAGCCACAATAATTGTTGGTTTCAAGTTTTCCGATTCAAAATTGTTTGTTCTTTTTCTTAACACGTTTGTCATTTGAAGTTGCTTGACTTATAGTTTTTTGTTTCATTCCCAGAAAATGAATGGAAGTTTCAATACCTTGGAACAAGCTATATTTTTTCTTCCAGGAACAAGAAGGATCTTCATCCTACGAATTGTTAGTTAGCTCAGGTCTTGGGCGGATTTAAACCACCGATCTCCTGTTTACTAGACAGTCGCTTTAACCGCTAAGCCAACTTCAAATGAAGTTGGCTAAGCCAACTTCAGGCGCTTTTAGTTTTTTTGATTTAAAATCATGTGTTTTGTTCCATATAGGTATGTCATTTGAAGTCGATTGACTTCAAATTTTTTGTTTCTTTCTCAGAAAAGGAATGGAAGTTTCGATACCTTGGAGAAAGCTATAATGTTTTCTTTTTCTTTCCAAGAATAAGATGATTCTATTTCCTTTTCGATATTTCTAGCGAAGTTTGTGGGCGGATTCGAACCATCGACCTCCTGATATATTCACTGGATCCTTATCCCCTAGGCTACTAGAACTATTTTGTTCACGTTTTGCGATTCAAAATTAATTGTTCTTTTTCTTAACACGTTTGTCATTTGAAGTTGCTTGACTTATAGTTTTTTGTTTAATTCCCAGAAAATGAACGGAAGTTACAATACCTTGGAACAAGCTCTATTTTTTTCTTTCAGGAACAAGATGGATCTTCATCCCACCAAATGTTAGTTAGCTCAGGTCTTGGGCGGATTTGAACCAACGATCTCCTATATACTAGACAGTTAGCTCAGGTCTTGGGCGGATTTGAACCAACGATCTCCTATATACTAGACAGGCGCTTTAACCGCTAAGCCACAAGACCTGTTGCTTCTAGTTTTTTTGATTTAAAATCATTTGTTTTTGTTCCATATAGGTATGTCATTTGAAGTCGATTGACCTAAAAATTTTTTTGTTTCTTTCCCAGAAAAGGAATGGAAGTTTCGATACCTTGGAAAAAACTATAGTGTTTTCTTTTTTCTTTCCAAGAATAAGATCATTCTATTTCCTTTTTTTTTTTAAATTTCTAGCGCAGTTTCTGGGCGGCTTCGAACCATCGCTGTTATATACACAGTATCCTTGTCCCCTAAGCCACAAGAACTGTTGGTTTCAAAATAGTTTGTTCTTTTTCTTAACACGTTCGTCATTTGAAGTTGCTTGACTTAAAGTTTTTTTCTTTCATTCCCAGAAAATGAATGGAAGTTTCAATACCTTGGAAAATGCTAGATTTTTTCTCCAGGAACAAGATGGATTTTCGTCCTACGAATTGTTAGTTAGCTCAGGTCTTGGGCGGATTTGAACCACCGATCTCCTGTTTACTAGACAGGCGCTTCAACCGCTAAGCCACAAGACCTGTTGATTCTGGTTTTTTTGATTTAAAATGATGAGTTTTTGTTCCATATAGGTATGTCATTTGAAGTCGATTGACCTAAAATTTTTTTGTTTCTTTCCCAGAAAAGGAATGGAAGTTTCAAAACCTTGGAAAAAGCTATAGTTTTTTCTTTTTTCTTTCCAAGAATAAGATCATTCTATTTCCTTTTTTTAAAAATTTCTAGCGCAGTTTCTGGGCGGCTTCGAACCATCGCTGTTATATACATAGTATCATTATCCCCTAAGCCACAAGAACTGTTGGTTTCAAGATTTCCGATTCAAAATTGTTTGTTCTTTTTCGTAACACGTTCGTCATTTGAAGTTGCTTGACTTATAGTTTTTTGTTTCATTCCCAGAAAATGAATGGCAGTTTCAATACCTTGGAACAATCTATATTTTTCTTCAGGAACAAGATGGATCTTCGTCCTACGAATTGTTAGTTAGCTCAGGTCTTGGGCGGATTTGACCCAAAGATATCCTGTTTACTAGACAGGCGCTTTAACCGCTAAGCCACAAGACCTGTTGCTTCTAGTTTTTTTTTATTTAAAATCATGTGTTTTTGTTCCATATAGGTATGTCGTTTGAAGTCGATTGACTTAAAAACTTTTTGTTTCTTTCGCAGAAAAGGAATGGAAGTTTCGATACCTTGGAAAAAGCTTTTGTGTTTTCTTTTTTCTTTCCAAGAATAAGATCATTCTATTTTTTTTTTAATTTCTAGCGCAGTTTCTGGGCGGATTCGAACCATCGCTGTTATATACACAGTATCCTTATCCCCTATGCCACAATAATTGTTGGTTTCAAGTTTTCCGATTCAAAATTGTTTGTTCTTTTTCTTAACACGTTTGTCATTTGAAGTTGCTTGACTTATAGTTTTTTGTTTCTTTCCCAGAAAATGAATGGAAGTTTCAATACCTTGGAACAAGCTATATTTTTTCTTCCATGAACAAGAAGGATCTTCATCCTACGAATTGTTAGTTAGCTCAGGTCTTGGGCGGATTTAAACCACCGATTTCCCGTTTTCTAGACAGGCGCTTTAACCGCTAAGCCAACTTCAAATGAAGTTGGCTAAGCCAACTTCAGGCGCTTTTAGTTTTTTGATTTAAAATCATGTGTTTTGTTCCATATAGGTGTGTCATTTGAAGTCGATTGACTTTAAATTTTTTGTTTCTTTCTCAGAAAAGGAATGGAAGTTTCGATACCTTGGAGAAAGCTATATTGTTTTCTTTTTCTTTCCAAGAATAAGATGATTCTATTTCCTTTTCTTTATTTCTAGCGAATTTTTAGGGCGGATTCGAACCATCGACCTCCTGTTATATTCACTGGATCATTATCCCCTAGGCCACTGGAACTATTTTCTTCACGTTTTGCGATTCAAAATTAATTGTTCTTTTTCTTAACACGTTTGTCATTTGAAGTTGCTTGACTTATAGTTTTTTGTTTAATTCCCAGAAAATGAACGGAAGTTACAATACCTTGGAACTAGCTCTATTTTTTCTTCCAGGAACAAGATGGATCTTCATCCTACAAATTTTTAGTTAGCTCAGGTCTTGGGCGGATTTGAACCACCGATCTCCTGTTTACTAGACAGGCGCTTTAACCGCTAAGCCACAAAACCTGTTCATTTTCGTTTTTTTGATTTACAATCATTTGTTTTTGTTCCATATAGGTATGTCATTTGAAGTCGATTGACCTAAAAAATTTTTGTTTCTTTAGCAGAAAAGGAATGGAAGTTTCGATACCTTGGAAAAAACTATAGTGTTTTCTTTTTTCTTTCCAAGAATAAGATCATTCTATTTCCTTTTTTTAAATTTCTAGTGCAGTTTCCGGGCGGCTTTGAACCATCGCTGTTATATACACAGTATCCTTATCCCCTAAGCCACAAGAACTGTTGGTTTCAAGTTTTCCAATTCAAAATTGTTTGTTCTTTTTCTTAACACGTTCGTCATTTGAAGTTGCTTGACTTATAGTTTTTTGTTTCATTCCCAGAAACTGAATGGAAGTTTCCATACCTTGGAAAAAGCTTTATTTTTTCTTCAGGAACAAGATGGATCTTCGTCCTACGAATTGTTAGTTAGCTCAGTTCTTGGGCGGATTTGAACCAACGATCTCCTGTTTACTAGACAGTCGCTTTAACCGCTAAGCCACAAGACCTGCTGCTTCTAGTTTTTTTTTTATTTAAAATCATGTGTTTTTGTTCCATATAGGTATGTCATTTGAAGTCGATTGACTTAAAAATTTTTTGTTTCTTTCCCAGAAAAGGAATGGAAGTTTGGATACGTTGGAAAAAGCTACAGTGTTTTCTTTTTTCTTTCCAAGAATAAGATCATTCTATTTCCTTTTCTTTATTTCTAGCGAAGTTTTTGGGCGGATTCGAACCATCGACCTCCTGTTATATTCACTGGATCATTATCCCCTAGGCCACTGGAACTATTTTCTTCACGTTTTGCGATTCAAAATTAATTGTTCTTTTTCTTAACACGTTTGTCATTTGAAGTTGCTTGACTTATAGTTTTTTGTTTAATTCCCAGAAAATGAACGGAAGTTACAATACCTTGGAACTAGCTCTATTTTTTCTTCCAGGAACAAGATGGATCTTCATCCTACAAATTGTTAGTTAGCTCAGGTCTTGGGCGGATTTGAACCACCGATCTCCTGTTTACTAGACAGGCGCTTTAACCGCTAAGCCACAAGACCTGTTCATTTTCGTTTTTTTGATTTAAAATCATTTGTTTTTGTTCCATATAGGTATGTCATTTGAAGTCGATTGACCTAAAAAAATTTTGTTTCTTTCCCAGAAAAGGAATGGAAGTTTCGATACCTTGGAAAAAGCTATAGTGTTTTCTTTTTTCTTTCCAAGAATAAGATCATTCTATTTCCTTTTTTTAAATTTCTAGTGCAGTTTCTGGGCGGCTTCGAACCATCGCTGTTATATACACAGTATCCTTATCCCCTAAGCCACAAGAACTGTTGGTTTCAAGTTTTCCGATTCAAAATTGTTTGTTCTTTTTCTTAACACGTTCGTCATTTGAAGTTGCTTGACTGATAGTTTTTTGTTTCATTCCCAGAAACTGAATGGAAGTTTCCATACCTTGGAAAAAGCTTTATTTTTTCTTCAGGAACAAGATGGATCTTCGTCCTACGAATTGTTATTTAGCTCAGTCCTTGGGCGGATTTGAACCAACGATCTCCTGTTTACTAGACAGTCGCTTTAACCGCTAAGCCACAAGACCTGCTGCTACTAGTTTTTTTTTATTTAAAATCATGTGTTTTTGTTCCATATAGGTATGTCATTTGAAGTCGATTGACT